AAGAGATTACTAGACTAGCAAAAGTAGGCCCTGGAAGGGGTATTTCAGAAGAACCAGAACTAGAAAGGTTGACATTTAGGAATTAGGAGATGTTAAGAGAAGAAATTGACATGAGAAGTGAACTTTTTTTTTAACAAAATGATTTGGCCATGGGAAAGGGGTAAAGAAAAAAGGGTTAAAAACTTGAAAAGAATTTGTCAAATGAAAGTTAGATGCCAGAAGTATGCCATGGCAAAAAAAAAAAATGTTGTATAGAAGCTTGCAATGACCTATGGCCCAGTTTCAAGAAAGGCAGTATTCTGCTTACAGTCTCTTTTCTTCTCTTTTCTTTTCTTCTTTTTCTCACTCTTTCTTCCTTTCTTTCTAAACTGAGCACAAGTCAGTGCCATTGTACAATCAGGGCATGTGGTATACCCCAGGTTTTGCAGGCTCTCTAAATCCATCGAATCATGTAGAACTGGGAAAAATGAATGTAAGTAACTCTATTTTGCCAGTGTAAAAACATTGCTAGTAGTATAACATGCCAATAGATAAAAATAGTACAAGTCTAAAATCCAGGTCCAAACAATTCTGCATGTAGGCTCTGCTCCCAATTGTGCTCTATGACCTTTAGCAAATTATTTGCCTCTCTATGTCAAGGTTGGCTGGTTAAGGTCAGGGTTACTGAACCAATTATCACATATGTTGGTTAACTTTATAGAGAAAACAGTTACAATGTCAAATCCAATATAAAGAAATAATGGAAAGAAATTGATAAAAAAATTTTAGGTGATATACGTAACTAAGCATAATCCTATCATATCACAATACTAAATAAACACAAATAAAGGCAGTTCACAGTGTAAAGCCAACATCTCAGTCATTAGCATCGTCTTTAAATAGAAAAGACAGGATCCAAGTACTATCTTTTTGAAGCTGCTGTTTGCTCATCAGGAACAAAGTGAAAAAACAAACAAAACATTGTCCTCAAAAGATTAAGTGACATCAGCATGCCAAGTGTTTCTTTAAACAAAATTGCTCCATAAAGCTTTCAATGATGATCCCATGGTTTGGAACAATCTAAGTTCAGAGCCCCAACCTCTCTATATCCTTTTGTCATCAGGGAAGTAACTATTCTTGACACCTCTGACCTCTGAGAAGTCATTTGCTTTTTTTGGTCTTTTTGAGACAGGGTCTCCCTGTAGCCCCAGCTGTCCTAGAACTCACTATGTAGACCAGGCTGGCCTCGAACTCATAGAGATCCACCTGCTTCTGCCTCCCGAGTACTGGGATTAAAAGCGTGCGACACCACGCCCGGCTATTTGCTTTTATTTATTATTTATTTTTTATTATTTTTTTCAGAAGAAGCATTTCATTACAGCTTTAACATACTCATTAACAGTTTCCAGAGCAAAGATACATCTCTTTCAAAAGTGGCTATGAAATTTTTAGGTTCTTTGTTGAATTAATAGTTATACAACATTGAACTCAGTATGAGCCCTGTAAGACATAAAATTGAATGAGTTTTTAACCTTTAAAAAAGATCTAAAAAGATTTAAAAAATATATACTGTTTCTTACAGAAAGACTCCTTGTTTTTGCTCATAACGCTGAGATGTTGGCACATGCATCTCTAATCTGTATGTATTTGATTTTTACTAGTCATAAATCTCGGTTGCACTTGGATCCTTGGCACCTGTGTATGTCTATAAAGTCACTGGGTAGATTTCAATGGTAATGTTTATCACCTCTACTAATTAACATGGCATAAATTTTCATTTGCTTTTTAGCTACTTGAATAGTAGAGAAGACAAGTTTTGATTGACCCATTGTCTTTCAAATCTTATTTAAGAGTATAATGTGAAGAATGATACCAGTCTGAAATGAGACAGCAGAATACAGATGTCAGCATCAGAAGGTAAATAAAAAACTAATTGGTAATAATTTATAAATCAAAATCCACATTGATTTCTATAAGAGGACAGGTAGCAATCAATTTTCAACCCTTCTCTGTGGGGCTAAGAAATTCTACCCTATTAATGGGGCAGTTTAAAATGTATCTAAGGTAACTTCCAGGATGTGAGTATCCCTAGGCTCATGGGAGTGTGGGGGCTTATGGCTGATGGTGGGCTCATGGAGGTGTGGGACTCATGGTTGGCTGGCAGAGCAACTACAGTTTCCAAGGAGTGTCTTGATTTTGAGTGTCTGTGCCAGCCCAGCTGAAGTGTGTACTCTGTTCTAGCCCCTAAACCTGAATAGCTTTTAAAGAGACATGGAGGCCTCTTTCCCACCCCAGGGGAGGAATGCCCAACAGTGTGCTAGGACTGGTCAAATCATCCCAGAACATCCCAGCATCACTGGTATGGAAGTGGGCAGTGAAGGTACCAGACTGGGGAGAGGTATTAAGTTATCTTGCTTCTCCAGGAAGACTTCCTTAGAATTGGGGCCAACTCAGAAAAGGAATAACTGAGAGTTTCAAATACAGGACAAAAGAGGCTCATTGTTGAGGAAATATAGTTAATGCATTACATATAAATTTTACAATGCCAGTAGATGCCACCTGGAGATTTCTGAATAACCAATTGTTATATCAACTCACAGACCATATTCTTTTATATCGTAAACACCATTTCAGTATTTCTTTAAAATATGGTGAAGAGGTCATTGACATCAGAATCAGTTGGGGGTGCAGATTCCAAAAGCTCTGCCCTAGATCCCAGAGTTGAATTCCTTGGACTAGAGTCCAGACCAAGAACTGCACCACCCAGGTCATTTGAGTGATTCATGTGAAGCCAGGAGATTAGTGTGTCTATACAGCCCATCACAGATTCAGACAGACATATATTAAGGATTTGCATATTTCTCCCCAGATGTTTATGTGCCACAAAAGTGAAAAACTTCTTATGATGACTTCTTAAAACCACACCAGTTTATTCTTCTCGCATATAATAAACACCACTATTAAAAATGTAATTAAAAACATAAAATTATTGTGAAAAAGATCAACTATACATCTCAAAAATATTGTCTTTATTGTCACGTAAAGTAACTACGCTATTAAAAGAATTTATAGTATTTAAAGTATCAGTCACTTGGGCAGGAACTTAATAAGCTGCCTGGACCTTTTTAGTCATCAGAATTTTCATGATAAAGCCTTTTTATTATTTCTAAACTACAAATTGTGAACCATTGCTACTAGTGATTAGACCAAATATGAATTTATGTCCAGGCTATAAATTCCTAAAAGCATGCTTCATTAGAATTACTAAGGCAATCTTGATTCCAGTCTTGGCAATAAACTTCTGTTTATTTCTATTAAAGTGTATGTGTGTGTGTGTGTGTGTGTGTGTGTGCGCGTGCGTATGTGTGTGTTGGTTCAAAACCATTCATTTTTAATGCATTCTCTTAAGTAAAAGAAAATAGTTTGTGATATACATGTTACTGCAAAGCTGTAAACCAGCATTGCAGTGTGATGTGACAAGCACCACATTTCTTCCAGAGGGATTTTCTCCTATAAACTCCCTTACCCAAATTATAGCTATAATTACATCACAAAACAATCTTTTCTTTCTAAAGGTAGCATTCCCTTCTTTTTCTTCCTCAGCAAGACTGCAAGTTCAAGCCAAATAATGGATGAGAATAGAATGAAAGAGGAAGGGTTTGTTTGTAGCATGTTGTTTTGCTAAGGGTTGCTCCCTACCCACCACCCAGCCCAGTGCTCTGACTTAAGTGTGCATGCTATGTTTTAACAGATGGGCTGGCTGGCAGCTTCTGGGCTGTAAAACAGGAACGTGGAATCTGCACTGAATGGTATTGAACTGAATGCTCGTAAAGTTCATGGACATATACTGCCCTAGACAGACCAGACAGATGCAGACATGCTTACACACACAGTCACCATACACCTCACAGCTCGGAGGGTTCATCTCTGTCATCCAGGGAAGTTCAAGGTTGAGTTTCTCCTTTGTATATTTCTACCTCATTCCCCTATCAGTTTTACACATACATATACACACCCCCAGATACGTGTACGTGTACATCCAACAAACACATAAATAACTATATAAATAAATCAATGCTTTATATGTTTTAAAATATCTAACTATTTCCAATTCTGGATCCAAGTCTCTCTAGAACTCTTAAATAAGCTATCATTCATATCAAATAAGAATGGCAAGAAAATATTGTACCGAGTTCCGTTTAGTCCTTATAGAATATAAATAAGCTGCTTTTACTATAAGAAAAAAAAATCACACTCAGCCACAAACGAAGCGTCAGGTTTAACCTTGAATCCTCTATTGTCAGCTCTTGCCACAACTTTATCACCTAAACACACAGGTGCACAAACACCCCCAGACCAGGCTGGCAGTCCCTCAGCCTCGCCTTGGCCTCTCCCGAGCTGGGGCAACTGCTCCAGACCCAGCTGCCGGCTGGTCCTAACCAACTTCCTCCCACACACCTGGCACTTGATGCCGAGGTCCGAGCACCTCAGCAGTAGGGGCGCCCAGTCAAGTGCTGACGGGAAGCAATTACTTCCCAAAGTTTAAGGTCCAGCACGGCTGTCAGTTCCTTGACTCTGCAGAGCACAGGGGGCCTGCTGCGGAACCCGGCGGGTCACTCGGGTCCTCCGGCCGCCGAGGACGCACCGGGAGCACCGGCCGCGCGGCTAGACTCCCGGAGTGTACGCCGGGCCACCGCCGCACGCGGGCTCCGGGTGCTCCAGTCTGAGGAACCGGTCGCAGCCCTTTAGGAGCTGCCGTCCGCACACCGAGGCCGCAGAGGGGCTCGGGGCGTCCGGGACCTCAGGATGTCAATCACCATCGCAAGTTGGTGCGGACGCAGAGCCGCGTCCCGGGTCGAGTTGGGATGCTTTGAAAACCACAAGTTCGGGACCGAGCGAGTCCCATCCTTTCCTGACCTCACAGCCGCCTCGCTCCGACCCTCCAGCGCCAGGCGCGTCTGTCTCCGCTCGCCAGCAGCAGAACGCTGCCGAGGAGCCGCTCGCCGCGCGCGGCCACTCACCCTCCTGGCGGAGTCCAGACCGCAAATCCACGCCCCTGCTGCGGATCCTCCCTTCCAACTTGCCCCGAACCCGCGGCTGCTGTCGCCCAGCAGGACCAGGGAGCACCGGATCGAGAGGCCACCCCGGGGAGCGTAGTAAGCCCGGCGGCCGCTAGGCTCAGCAGTAGCCGGGAGGGCGCTGACAATTCCTGAACCTGCTTAGAGAATGAGACGGAACGCCTGGCTGCGCTGACTAGGCTCTGAGGGGGCGGGGCTGGCGGGGCGGGGCGGGGCCAGCGCCAGCCTCGGGCCAGCCCCGCGGGGCGGGGCGTCCATCAACCTATGACTGGCGGAGCCCGTAGCCAATCGTCATGGCGCCAGGACTCTGGGAGGCCGCGGGCGGTGTCTAGCTCGAGGTCCCGCCCCTAGCCCCTGTCCAATCGCCTGTAGCTTTGGCTCGGCTGCTAGAAGCGCCAGCGGCTAGAGAGTTGGGCGCTGCGAAGTGAAGTGCTGGGGCTGCTTAGGCCTGCTGCACGGGGACCAGGACACCTCTAGAGTGAGGGGACCGCAGGGAGGGAGACGTCAGGAGCCCCAGAGCCATCGCGAGTGGGCGCTCTGGGGAGAACATCAATCGTATCTGGCACCGGCAGGAGGCGCGGAACTTGGCCTCAAAGAAGCCTGAGTCCCATGAGGTCCGGCCACCTAGGAGGCCTGGGCTGGGGACTGAGCGCTTCAGGACCCCTGGGAAAGGTTCTGATCTTGACCTGAACTTCGGGCCAGTAAACCTCCCAGAAGTGCGGTGCAATCTCCCTCCTCACCTTTCCCTCCACGCTGGAGTGCTTACCAAAGTCTCGAGATCCAGGGCGTCTCGGGGCACTTTGCATCCGCAGTAGTGGATTCTGCTGCTGTCTACTTGGTCTGCCCGGATTATGGAGAGGCCAGAATCATCCATCTTCGTGGACAGACAACCGCAGAGGAAGCCACAGCTGAGGCACTCTGCACTTCGTCCCCTTCGGAAATCCTTGGCCAGGGTGGAGACATGGAGCCAGCTCATAGGTGGAGTGCATTGGAAGTCCTTGGGTTATTGTCAGCGGAACGGTCCTGGAAGATGGCTTCCTGGGCTGTAGCCATCCTATGTGGAAAGGGGGGGTGGGGAGAGAGAGAGAGAGAGAGAGAGAGAGAGAGAGAGAGACCTTCTAGAGCATATTCCCAGTAACGCACTTTTTCAGTTAACCTCCACCCAGGAGAGGAGAGGAGAGGAGAGGAGAGGAGAGGAGAACCTTTGGATGTTCTTGCTTTCTGAGGCCTAGAATGTGACAAATCCTAGACTGCCTGCAGGGGCAGGTAGAGCCTCTCTGTGCCTAACCCGACTCATGTTAACAGGAATGCACAACAGGATAGGAAAGGGAGCAAAGTTCCTGGACTTCCTGGTGTCCTTATACTCACCTGTACCTCACCCCCATATTCTCACTTCCAGCCCAAGACCACTGCCTCGGTCTTGAAAAACCCTACAGGGTGTAGTCCTTGAGTCTATGTGGCTGTTCATTTGATTCCTGCATTCTAGCTGACCTCTCATGAGAAGGTTCTGATGAAGTTGCCAGGGAGAAGGAAGGTAAAGGAACAGCCTGCAACTGATAAGGAGGTGAAATGGCCCCTGCAGCAGGGAAGATGTCAGCTCTTAGATGAGCTCTGCTGTAGTCTCCTGAGCCCCCTTCTTCAGTTGGAAAGGTCCACATGCAGGCTGTCAGAAGAGCAAAAATAGGACCTGCCTAGTCCTTGACATGCCCTAAGAAATGAGTGATGCCGACCTTGCACATACTTAAACTTTATCTTGATTTCTGAACCAAAGAACTGGTGCAAGTGAGGAAGACTGATCTATTGAATTCTAGTAGTTCCTTATCATGCTGATGAGTGACTAAGGAAAATGGCCCGTGCTGACAAAGATTTAAATGTAGAGCATATGAATAGACTATGCAGATCTCTGCCCAGATTGGGACGAGTGGAAACAGGTCTGGAAATGACAGACAGAAGAGAGGGCCTAGAGGACTACTCCCTGGTTCTAGTACTGTCAACCAGCTTTCCATCACCGTGAAAATATACTTGAGAAAACCAGTGTGTACAGGGAAAGGTTACTTTGGCTTACAGTTTCAGAGGTTTCAGTCCATGGTTTCTGGGCCTCTTTGGGCCTGTGGCAGCCCAGTACATCATGGCAGGGGGCCTGGGCAGAACAAAGCTTGGTTCACCTTAGTGGTGACCAAGAACTGGGGGTGGGGGTGGGGTGGAGCAGAAGAGAGTTAGAGGGACTGGCTTCCCAAAATTCTCTTCAAGGAAGTCCCCAGTGTCCTGACTTCTAGTGGGGCCCACCTAAAGAGTCTACCACCTTGCTATAGTGCCACAAGCTGGAAACAAAGCCCTTCAACACATGGGTCTTGGATCCAAACTACAGCCATCAGGGAAACTCCACTTGGATCACTTTTAAAAATCATGCTCCCTTCTGTTTGCTTTCAGGAACTTCTGGAAGCTTCTTCACTGAAGGCTGTCATGAAGCATCCATCTTTGAGTGGAGTCATCAGGAAGTTCATATAGAAGAAATACATTCCTTTGGGCTTCTTCCTCCCACATGTGTGGATATAACTAGAGAAATTTGCTAACAGTGCTCATCATAATCATGCTGTCTGAGGGTTTTTCACAGATGCAAATGATTATTTTTAAAATCATCTTTGGGTCCATGAGATGGCTCAGAGAATAAAGGCTGCTTGCCAACAAGCCTGAAGACCAAGCCCTGTGGTCCACATGGTAGAAGACAACTGATTTCCTGAAAGTTGACTTCTGACCTCTACATGTGGCACCATGGCACATGACCACCACATATACACACATAAACATAAATAAATTTCATAAAATAATAAATGTAATTTAAAAATATTTAAATTATAGGATCTGGTGATATACCTCAGTAAGCATTTGTGATACACAAGTGAGGTCCTGGGTTTGAGCACCACCATCAGAGAAAAGTTAACAATCACCATGATAGTAGGAGTCAAAAATGGCTGGTGACCAACTTATAGTTGGATTTATACTACATTTTGAAAGAAAAATAAAGGAAACTTTCTTTTGTGAAGTAAGTTAGAATTAGGTAACTTTCATGTTTCACTTTCTTTTTTCTTTTTCTTTTTCTTTTCTAAACACTCTTTATTCTGCAAACAAGGCTCAGAAATGTACAGACCCAGTCTTCAGGTACAGCCCTGTGTGGCTACTTCACTGCACTATTTCCGGAGAGTCACCAGCTCCTGGACTCACGGGCGAGCCACGTGCTGAGGCCTGGCCTCGAGTGGGGCCAAGGCTGTGCTTTAGTCTTTGAGAACAAGCAGTGCCTTCACCTGCTCAGCCACAGCCATGGCTGGTGAGGGTCAGGCCATCCCTCTCCATGCAGCTCTCTGAGTAGCTGTAGTGACTCCCATTCATCATTTTGTCCTTAGCAAGTGGGTGTGTTGCAACTTTGCTTCCAAAACCTATTTCATGAGCCAACAGAGCTGTAGGACCTGCACAGATGGCAGCGATGAGGCCCTTCCTGCTCTCCTGCTCCTTCAGGATCTCCTTCACCATGTTTCATTTTCTAAAGTTTCCATTTCTTTCATTTAGACACATCTATCCTATTCACATTCTTGAACAAATAGTATATCTTATTTTGCCTTTCAGAATGTGTGGCATGGAGAAGACAGTACATTTGTACTGTATTCATTTTCCCACACCATCTTTTATTGTAAGTCATTTTCTATAAGAACCTAACACTTGGACACAAGACCTAACATTCCTTTGGTTGCTAATCCCCATAAGAGTCTGTGAGTCTGGGTTATCCTGATCTATGAGGGGGAATCAGATCTGTTCCTACACCAGGAACTTATGCTAATACTATCTGTATGAAACCATGGAAGTCTGGATGTGAAAGCCACTTGTTTAGTTCCAACCTATTTCATGAAATTTCTTTCACTCAATGTGATGAGAAAGTTTGTGGAATGTCTTAAGAATGAGAAGAGTCAGGTGGAGCCATGAATGCAGTTTTTCCCTTTGTGAACAATGAGCAAACTTGTCTTCCAGCACTGCTACCCCTCTCTGACAAGCAATATTTTAGAACATCCTGAATTTCACTAGGATGTGACTGGCAGAAGCCATGAGTTCTAATCTGAACGGCTGTGATGGTGAATGCTTCTGGCAGTCACTTAACCTCTGTTTGCCCTCCATTCTCTGGTCATAAAACAGCTGGCAGAATTGCCCACTGTGTTCAGCTCCTCAAGGGGACTGCATGACAGTGGTTTCAATGAACTTACAGTACTACTGCTACTGAAAAGAGTGAGGTTGAAAGGGGGAAATAGAGAGCCCTGGGCAATTCTTTACACACACAGATTCTGTCTATTTAAATCTCATTGAATCTTCGTCCTTCTATAAATGAAAATGAAGGGAAAGGGCCCTTTACCATTCTTTTTTTGATTGCCAAGTGTTTTAAAAGCTGTTAAAGAGATGTATTATCATGGGGGCCGGCAAGATGGCTCAAGCCTGATGACCTGAGTTTGATTCCATAAATGTAGGAGAGTACTGACTCCACAAAGTTGGCCTCTGGCCTCTATGTATCCCCATCACACACATTTAAAAGAGAGAGAGAGAGAGAGAGAATGAGAGAGTCATACATTTAGAAAAGTAAAGAATGTATCACTAAAATGGAAGGAGTTGTAGAAGCAGAGCCAGGGTTGAGGGAAAATTTGTATCAGTGAATAGTATTTTCCCTCTTCCATTCCTGTCATCTCTTTCAACATAGATTTACTTTGGAAATTGTTCACATTTTAAAGAGAACCACCCAAAAGGTCTTAGCAAGGAAATGCAGAAACTTCTAAATTCCTGTCAGAAGCTACATAATCTAATTCCAGGTCTGCTCCAGAATCATTCTGAAACCTTGTACAAGTCATTAACTTTCCTTATCTTATTAATAGCTTCCCATGTATGACAATGTAGTGAGACTTCTTTTCTTTCTTTTTTTAATTTTTTTTTTTTGGTTTTTTTGAGACAAGGTCTCCCTGTAGTCTCAGCTGGCCTGGAACCCACTATGTAGACCAAGCTGGCCTTGAACTCACAGAGATCTGCCTGCCTCTGCCTCCCTAGTGCTGGGATTAAAGGTGTGCACCACCACGTCCTGCCCAATGTAGTGATATTTCTGATCAATTTCACACAGATGGGATGGTAAC